TAATAATGATAATGTAGAATAATAATAATGTAATGCTTCAAAATTAAATTCTTATTTTTATCTTTAATATGTTTAAGACTTTTTTATTACTTACTAAAAAAAAAAAAATAAATTAAACTTTTCATCAAAATAATGTACTATTCAACACATTTTATTGAAATCTAGTCTGAAAGTAAATGTACTTTAGTACTCTTCTTCTTTTTTCTTCTTCTTCCTGACATTCCTACTCTCTAAGAGTTTTTGCCGCCATTATTACACTTCACCACCTATCTCTATCTTGAGCTGTCTCTCTCCAATCTTCAACTCCAAGGGTTTTTAAATCTTCTACTACGTCAATCTATATTTTCTTAGGTCTACCTCTAGGTCTCTTTCCTAGTGGTTTCCATTCCAAAGCTGCTCTAACTATTTCGTTCTCTCTCCTTACTACGTGACCTAACCATTGTATTTTTTGGCTCTTATTATAGCTTGTTGCCGGTTCTAGTTCCAACATATCGTAAAGCTCTCTGTTGTACCTCCTCCGCCAATTCCGCGTTGTATCATCTATGACAGGTCCACATATTTTCCTCCATACTCTGAGCTCAAAAGTCCTCAGGTTTCTCTCTTTTTATTTGGTCGTTGTCCAAGTACTTGTCTTAGTATTCTAGTGCAGAAAATTAGTATTTCTATTAATTGGGTATATCAATTAAATACAAACCAAACAAAAATAATTTTCAATCAAATAATTAGTAATTCATTAGCCAACTCAAGATAATATATTAACTCATATTTGACTAAAGCGAATTTACCAGTAAGTTATTTTCAACTAGTGCTTACTCATTTATTAAGCTAACTATAATTTTTTAGGACCATCATTTTTATTTTAAATATAATAAACAATTACTCGTAGATATTCAATTTACTTTAAAATATATATGTTTCAATAACAATACCATAAAAATGTCATAGTTTATCAATATTTTATTTATAATTAGTATTATTAAAATATCAATTTTAAAAATTATCATCATATGTTTGTAAAATTTCATCTCATTTGTCATGAATAAGCAAATTCTTACTTAGTATCAAAGTCGTACTTAGTTCTTTATTCTTTTGCAGTTGAAATTTTAATGTTTTTGCTTAGGTATATATTTTGTAAGTATTATTAAATATAATTGATAACTGTGATTTAAAAATAAAGGTTTTGTGTTCAAAATTTTGTCATAAAAATTAATAATTTGTTTGTATTAATATAATGGTTACTAGTTTAATAACAAAATTTGTTAACTGTACCATAATTCATAAGAGCTATTTTATAAATAGTTATAGTATTAAAATATGGACTTCTAACGAATTTCAACTACAACTTATTAAGGTATCATTGTTCTCTAGAAATTTATAACTGTACCTATGAACTAAAACATCACGCATATGGCATTCCATTTTCTCATAAAAATTATTATATACTACTAGAATAAAACTTTTTCGAGTTTATCAGTAATTAAAGAAAACATTATAATCAGCAGTATTGAAACTACTGATATTTATATATTTTTAATTCAATAACTACTCTACAGTTTTTAATTTTAGAGTAAAATATTTAGTCGGTTATTAAAACCAGTTACTAGTAAACTAAAATATGTATTTATTAATTTATTTGGAATAGAAATATACGAGTATGTACAAAAATTGAATGATACTATTTGCAAGTGATAGAAATAGCGGTAAACAGGTTTTTAAAATTTGAATGAAAGTTATAAAAAAATATATTAGTGTTGTTGGTATTGCATTTTTGGTACCCAGAACTACTTCAAAAAGACATTAAGATCAAATTATACTACAAATAACCTAAATGACTATTGCTGATTACACTTCCAGCAACACCTTGCAGTGTGGAAAGGTCTTTCAGATTTATTATAATTGTATTCATCAAAAATTCCATAAAAGTAGATAACTTAATTTTATTGTTTAAATTTAAATATGTCCTATAATTAATGAAAATAATTACAATATAAATTATAGTTTTTACTTTCCAGTTTAAAAATTTTATTTATTTTATTTTATAATTTAATTTTTACATCTTATTATTATTTTACAATTCATTGAAAAAATTAAAAATATGAAACCGCAAATGAATTTCTAAAAATAAATTAAATTTACTAGTTCTATTACACTAGTATATTCATAAAGACATTCTTAAAAAATAAAAACAAAATGTTGTCAAAGATGATGTGAAATTTTTTTTTATATGCAACCAAGACAAGTTCAATTTTTACCTAATAATTAATGGTATTTAGATGTACAAACTCGTAATTAAAGATAAGGATATTGTATAAGTAAAATAAATAAACGACTTACTTTTATTATTTTATTATAATATATTACTATTACTATTATTTTAGCGGGAATATTAGATTATAAGTCATTTTTATCTTCCCTGGTAGAATTTTTTCTTGTGGACGCGATTGACATGTTGATATAAAAATGTATTAACTGATTAGTGATTTGCTATTATATTAAATATTATTAAATACTAATTACATTTTTTAATTAATAACGAGTTATGTGTTTACAATATTTTTTCAAAACTTTGGAAAAAAAGTTAAAAATATTTTCTTAAAATAATCCAAGTCTTAAATAGAATGAACCATTTATAAAACTTTCTGGTGAATTATCATATCCACTATATCGCTAACCCAAATATATTCAGTAAAAATATTTAATAATGATCGTAACAAAATAATAATACCCATATTTTTGAGAGAATAATAATTTTACTATCTTATGTTTTAAATTGAATGTTTTTATTTTAATTTTCCTTCTAGTACTAAAAATATTTTATTTGTATTAATTTAAATTATATTTTTGGTAATTGAAAAAATAAAATAATAATTTGTCACACGCTGATGCACAATAAAGTTATTTTGAATAATGTACTACCAATTTTTGTCAACAGTTTCGATCGAGTTATTTATTCATTATTAATACATACACATATATTTGGACAATATATAATTATGTATAATATCTTCATACTATCACGTTTCATTAATTATTTTATATATTAATACAATCTTGTATAAACTTATACATGATTAAAATGTATGAATAAAAATGTATATATTTAAATAGCTTCAATGAATTATTAGATAAATTACTTACTGCTAATTATATTTATGTATCAGATAAAATATATGTATGATATTTAAATAAATATGAAATTCAAAAAATAAATCGACAAATTTAATTTTTTTTTAGAATTTTGCACGGTTTAATATTTGATGCTATTTTAAAACGTTAGAAGTTCAAGTATGTTTATAAAAAAATAATTTCTATATAAAAAATAAATAAAAATATATAAAACTTTTTAATTTTCATAAATAGTTAATTGCTTTGATATATTTATTGATATATTTATATAATTGCATTATTTAAGTAATATTAATGCTAATGAGTTAAAACTGTTACGATGGGATATACTACCAAACGGTTGGCATTTTATTTCCAGGTCGCACTCTTTTTTACTTAGAATGTTCTATCGAGAATATTTGTCATAATTGAAACGAAAAATTAATTCACTTTTCAGCGAATATTAATTTTCGAACTCCGTAATGCTGTCTCTCGTTCACAAATATTGACGGAAATCGATATCAATCATTTTATCCAAGAGTTTGAGAATTAGTCAAAATAGTGTAATTATTATACTCGTAATACACCATAGCCTACAGTAAGGATATGCAATTATAAAAAAATTTTTTTTTATTTTATGATTTCACCATGATAAGTTATCATTTTTCATAAAAAATAAAAAATAAACATGTACGTTCGATTAATTCAATTGATCTTCATAATAATTGTTGTTTCCGTATCATGTTTACTGGTATCGTAAAATCGTGTGTTTATCGAAGATTTCAACTGGTCAGAATTCAAACAAACAGGTGAATACATACATGATACAGATGCTATTTTTATTTCAAGCACGTAAGAAGTGTATTCGTATTGTACTCAACGGAACATTTAGAAATTTTAATTCGTCAATATTTCACGAGTCACTTAGATTATAAGTAGGTATGTGTCATTTCAATGCATATACGTTAATTACGTACATATTATAATATACACACTGTCAAATTGAATACGGCTAACGGAATACTACTAATATAAAATTAATTACTATTTACAAATAATTTATTGGGACGCAATTTTGTTGACGGAGTAAACGGGATTTTTCTTCGGTGATTTCATCAAGGACTGCAAACTTATTGCTTTTCCTTTGACTTACGTATTACAGACTGTATACAGTTAAATTTACATAAAAACAAAAATTAAATCTATTAGTATTTAACGTGCTTAGGTAAACATATAATTTAATATATTACACTATATTTAAACATTTATTTATGTAGTATAAAATATATCATGTTTATTTTCCTTGGCTCTTTTCTTGAGATCTACTTATTAAATAAAATATAAAATAAATAATAATACAGTTTTTATGATTTCAGCAATAATTTTCATATTAATATGAGGTTCGGTTAAATTTTAATTTTCTTAAGGAAGACAAATAATATATTGAACATAACTACGTGACATTACAACTTTGTTATACCATTCCCAGTTTTTACTGCGGTAACTGATATATAATTCAAATATCCATTACTATTGATCATGGTAAGGCTAAATATAATTTATAGCAAAAGGAATTGGATCAACTTATATAAAATTAAACATAAAACAAAATTCCAAATTACTACAAAAGTAAGTTAGAATGTTGAATTTCATGTTATGTATTTTTAATTTTTAACGTTCGGACTCGAGTATAAGTGTGTTTTTATTATATTATCGATGAAACGTTATTGACTGCGAAAAAACGTCGCCAAAGGGTAAATATTTATTTGTAAAATTATATAATAATGGAAAATATGTTGTATAACTCTAAACTATAATATATGTAAATATATCTTATTTATTTTTGTTAACAATCTAACAGTACTCCTTATATATTTACTATGTTTGAAACTTACCAGATTTGGAAATGAACACGACCGTGACGCATGACGCGAACGTTATGAAGAGTAATAACAAATGACGTGATCTAGGCTGTTGCAATGTCCACCCCATCGGAGCACCTGTAACTCACACAGACACACGTTTAAATGAGAAATGTATGAATAATAAGTGATTTGCTTTCATACAGAATGTAACGCGTAACATAGATACTTGAACGCGAAACTCATCGGAAGAAGTAGAGGGAGGGTAAAATTTTATTTATTATTAACCAATTATTACTAACCAAGGTATTAACTACCATTTTTACAAATCATTCGTCCGATTCCATAGCAGTAATAGATTTCGATAAACGTATTTCACTCTTATTTCATATACTTGTAATTATTTATCTCGCGTTTATATTATAAATTAAATGATTCGAAAATTACGGTTGTACTAAATGCGCAAGCATGCCAAAAAGTTTCTCGCAAACCTCACCGCGTTTTCGTCGTCTTCGATAATATTGTTATTCACACCATCGATGGTCGCTCGCGACGATGTTCAGAAAACGGAATTCATCAGTTCGAGACGCCACACTACCCCCCCGCGGACCGTTTTACGGCGTTTATGCACATGTTCGTAAATACTCGGAAATACATTGAATGTGTGTGCAGATGTGAGTTTGTGTTTTGCACTGTTGTATCGTTCCTGTCCCCGAAGCCTTTTTATACGGAAAACCGTTTTTCTGAACGAATCCGTTTCGGTACCGTTCGGCGACGAGGCGGTGTTCACCGATTTTCGATTTCAAATTCTTAAACAACCCTCGAACGTCAGTGCACCACCGAGGCTCATGGTCAACGCAATGAACATATATATATATATATGCATGCACACAACAAAACATACGAGTACACAACAGTATATACGTACCAACACGCGGACCTCGGTTAATTCAACACACACACACGCACACGCACATACGCATACACACGCGCGCACTGATTGAACGACTTTCGTACGAGTGTGCGTGCGTGCGTGTGCGAGCACACGACGTGCTTCGCAGGCGGTCGAAATCCGCGCGCGCGCCACCGACCGACCGATGACCGTTCGCGACGCGAAGCCGAAATGAAACTGAACGGTGAGCTCTCGGCGTGCACACCCGCTGACGTTATCGCCGTGGCCGACGCCGACGCGCCACCGACTTCCGTCCTCCAATGCGCTCTATATGTGTGTGTGTGTGTGTGTGTGTGTGTGTGTGTGTGTGTAGACACCATCGCAATGATAATAATAGTAATAATAACGTATACCTCGCCGAGCTCCACGGGTGCACGCAAACACACACGCGCACGGACGAACATGTGTGCACGCGTGTGTGTGCATTTTCTATTCGTGTGTTACGGGGGTGGATTTGACGTGTCGGGAAATCGGAAAATTTCCCGTCGGGGACCGGGTTTTCGTTGCGATTCGCTTTACTTGTATTTATAACTTCTTCTTTGTGTTAAATACCTATGAAAAAAAAGAGGTTATTTTAGAAAATTTTATACTTCCCAAGCAGAAAACTATCACCGATCCGTCTCCAAGTGTCGGGCCACACGACGCGTTCTCGCAGGAACCGGCAAAAAAAATTTGCCTAACCGGATAGCGCGTGTATGATGCGGCACCACCGTACGCGGCGGAATGAAAATATCACAAGATTAACTACAATTAATTAATATCAACATTTATTCATGAAATATATTACCTATATTCCCCGATAGCCCCAAATCATAGATCACTAGGTCAGTGTATTTTCTGATTCTTTCGAGTACAGTCGATCATACAAATTTCAATAATTTGTGTTGATATACTTTTGGAAATATTATTTATTGCTGAAGCAGCCGGTGAATTAGATGAATTAATTATTCACACACCCTAAGTGAGAGAACATTGAGTTCATCCGGTTCATTCAAAAAAAGAGGGAGACAATTCTTTTTGCAAATATTCGATAATATCCGAAAAATTTTCATGAATAATACCGTTTGTCAATAACATAATTTGATGAACTGTTAAACATTTTTAATTTCTTGTTTAACAAAGCAGGAGACAAATATGAGAAGTCCAATAAGTGCAAAACTAAGATTTACAATAACGATGAGGTAAGAGAAATTATGTTTTGGTCAACAACATTTTTCACGTAGTTCAAGGAAAATCTATTTAAATGAAGTTAAACAATAAAATTTAAAAACTATTAATTTTAAAATAAAAATAACACTTTTTACTTAAAAAAATTTTTTCTAAAGTAATTTTGAATTATTTAAAAAATTACCTACTTTGGTATTTGATAATTATACATAAATTTAACCTGCTTTGGTGTTTGAAAATCATATACAAATTTAAAATTAAAAGAATTTATTTTTGTAATTAGTTATATGATTAAATAATAAAAATAATTCAAAAACACAATTATAATTTGAATGGTATTGATTAGGGGAGCTGGGAGATGAAGAATTTGAATTTTAATGATCCTTCGGAGATTCTAATGGTTATGTATTAGTGTGTAGTTGATTTTAATTATGTGATACAATGTTAGATTGATGTTGTAAATATTGAAATTTTGACAAAGATTGATCATCATTTTGAGCTGCAGAATTGGAAAGTGTAGAATACGAGTAAGTGTCATTATAAGGAATATAATTTGGATAACTTGGACTATTTATTATTTGATCTTGCATAGGTACATGAGAAGTTGAGGGCTTATATGAATACAATGCGTTGTTTTTATGTAAATAGGACTGAGAATAAACTAAACTGTTATTTGACAAATTCGTTGCATTTTTTAAAAGTTGAAGAGTGTTTATACAAAATTCATATTTTCGTGCATTATTTAACTTTTTATAATTTAGTAGTAAAGATAAAAATACTATTTATCGGGACCGGTGTTTAAATTTACTTTTAAATAAGATAGTAATTGATTTTGAAAAGGGATGGTTATTGATTCTTTTAAGCTTTTCTTAAATTGTTTAGTTTGAAAAGTGATCAATGCCATCTTAGTAAGTGCATTGTTTTCTTCAGTCGTTTCCTTACTATTAATTTGAAGACTCATCGAGGTCATCTTTAAAATTTCCTGACATACTAGGCAAAAATAAAATACCTTTTTTTTTATTTTCATATACATTTTAAAATATAAATTTATTATAATTATTTACTCTTATAACAGTGAATATTTTTAGTTTAAGTATAAGTTTGAATTTACTGCCCTATAAATAGTAAGTATAAAAAAGGTATACAAATATATTAATCAATAGTAGCTACCTTTTTTTTTTTTCACGAATTGGCTTTAGAAATGATAAAACATCTGTGAAATTATATTTTTCCCTATTCGAGGCCAGATTTAATTGCGGTTTTTCGTTTCAAGTATTTTAAATAATTATTACATAAGTGTCTCTATTTTTTGTCTTTAATATATTGAACTAAAATTTAAATTAAAAAAAATTTTAATGTCAATTATAATAAATTAAGCCAGTTTAAAGTATTAACATACTGTTTTGACTTATTTTGAAATTAACAAAATTTACCCGGTTGGTAACTAAGTAGATGAAAACTTTACATGAAAGTCCTGCACAGTAATCCCGTAATGACGTAATGGTATTATAACTTTACGAGCAAAACATTTTTGTTAATATTTCGAAATAAAAAAGATGATAAAATTAAATAAAATTATATAAAATAATGATAAAATAAAAATTATTATATTTTAAACATTCGAAACCAATATGGACGTACGGGATACAGCTATGGGGAAGTGCAAAAAAGACAAATTTAAATAAAATTCAATGTTTTCAAAACATTGCGCTAAGAAAATTAATAAATGCTCCCCCATACATATCTAACCATACTCTCCATACAGACCTAAAATTAAAAACTATCCACGAGGAAGCCAAACACTTTTACAAAAGATTCCACAACCGTCTTTCCTCCCACTCAAATCCTTTAATTAAAAACCTTTCCTCCCTCTCAATCCCCGGCAGTCCTCCTAGACGATTAAAACGTGAATGGTGTAGAGACCTGTTACAAATTTTAATATAGAAAAAAAAAAAAAATACTAACTTATTAAATATATTTAATTCATTTACATTTTTCATATAAACTATCAACATTTAAGTGTCATCATTGGGTGGCTTCTTTATTCACTTTTTGTATTTTGTATACTCATGTTATCTGTACCCCTTATCATATATGCTTATTGTGTCGTTTGATATAGATTGTATATTAGGTATTAAAATAAAAAAAAATAAAAATATTTTAAACAGATATTTGTCAATTGGGACGTGTTTCAAAGTTATTCAATTCGATTTTCATGACGGTAAAAACACAATTTTAGAAATCGTGAAAGAAATTTGCTCAATTATTTGAAAAATCTTGCAACCTTTAGAAATGCAACTAGCTAATACATTTTATTCAAATACAAATTTCCCAAATTGCCAAGGTGCTATTGATGGCAAAAACATAGGCGCAGAAATTCTCAAAACTTAGGATCACATTATTTTATATATAAAAAATATTTTTCAATTATTTTAATGGCTGTGGTTAATGTCAATTTAAGTTTGATTGCAATCGATGTAGGCGCATTTGACAGAGAGTCGAATTCTAACGTATTCAAAAAATCTCCCTTTGGTAAAAAATTATACACTGAGTGACTTAATACCATATACTAGAATAAGCATGTTTATCTAATATTCAAAATGATACATAAGCATATGTACTCGTATTTAGAGCTGATGAGGCATTTTCACTCCACACAATCTTATTGAGGCCATGTCCAGTACTAGGCTTAACTAACAAACGATTAATTTTTAATTATAAGCTTTCTAGAGCTTAACGAACAGTAGAGTGTGAGTTTGTGGTGCTATCAAATAAATGAAGGGTATTTCATTCTCCATTACTAGTAGAACCGGATTTTGCAAAAGAAATATTTAAGGCTTATTGTATTTTACATAATTTTTTTCGTCAGAGTGATGGCTATAATTTTGATAATATGGCAACAAGTTTATTAGTTGATGTTTTGAAGGTTCGTGGTACAGGATCACTTACACAAGAATTACAGGTCAGAGACTATTCTTCCGAATATTTTGTAGGTCCACGAGTAGCACTATTTTAGTACAACTGTATTTAATATAATATATTTAACAGACTTGAGTAGTATTCCGAATACATTATTCGGAATACTTTTTTGAAAGTATTCAATAAAGTATTTTGAATACTGTACTTCGAATACCGTTAAATCATCTTTATAAATTATTTTATTACTTCTCCGTCGTATCTTGTATAAGCTTATATCAGATATTTATTATTATTGTAAACGCTAAACTATAACAGTTATGTAATATAAAAATATAATATAATAACATATATTTAGTCTACAATTTCAAATATTTCTGTTGAGTGGACATCTATTATTTTTATAGTATGAAAACTAGAAGTATTTTAAAAGTATTCGGAATACTTTTGAAATATTCTAAATAATGTATTTTGAATACAATTTATATAAAGTATTTTACCCAAGTCTGATATTTAAATATAAATAATTACTTTATTTATATTAGTTAATGTTGTCCATAAAAAATGTTTGATTTCTTTTTAAAATGATTTAATATTGTGTCTTAAGTGCATTTATATTTTTTACTATTAAGTTTTTAGTTATTTAAAGTATAGGTACTTATATACTCATAAATGCAGATATATTATAACAATGTGCATAAGATATATGTCTATATTTTTAGTTGATAGCAATTTTGATGTATTAAAAATGTTGAATATTATATATAGACATATCCAAATTTTTTTTTAAATCAGCTGTTATAAAATTTATAAAAAATCAATGTAAAACATCCATAACTACCTATTCTAAAACATTTTTTTTTCATAATTTACTTTTATAAATATCT